ATATAGCTGTGACAACATCGGTTAAGCTGTTAGACATTAAAGACGGCAAATTCTACTTGAGTTACGCCCGTCCTGAAAATCTGACTGAAAACAAAGAAGTTGGAAGAATTCTCAGGAGCGAGAAATTTACACAAGATGTATGCTGTACTGTAGTTGATGAAGTACACATGATATCTGAATGGTAAGTCAGCGGCCGCTTGTAATCTGGTTAATAAATGGACCTTTCCCGGTCTTTTAAAAATGGCTTGGGAACTTAGGGTCACAAAGAGAAATATCGCAAGTGGATTCTGGGCTTGTGGGATTTAGCCATTTAATAGGGATGCTGTTCCAGTCTGCTTTTTTCAAAAGCATTTCCCATAACATTGATATATAGTTATAGAGCTCTTTGCAAATAATGTTATTATTTTTACCTAATGTATATAGACTTAGGGTCTGTACCATATTTGAGTGTACTGAATAGGTAATCGGGAATATATACATCAAAATAAACTTACGTAGTTATATATTTATTTATATGTGTGTGTGTATCTACTTACACAACCGAACACACGTCCCTCGATTAGGTCACAGTCCACAGCCTCCTAGGGGTAAATGTAGAACGTTGGAGTGTAAGGGTACACTCCCCCAGGAGACGGTCTCCACTATTCCAACCTTTGATGATCATGACAGGCTGTGCGGGGGGTGCTGGTCCACAGCACAGGGTGAATGTCTTGTTCACCCCGCGCAGCCAGTCCTCGTTCATTGTGCAGGAAAATGAACTAAAGTCGGTGTCCTCTCTGTTGACGACACATGCGAAGAGCAAAAGGGTGTTTAAACACCCCTGTGTCGTCAACAGAGACGAGAAAGTCAGAGCTATCCTCACCGCCAGCATCATTGTTATTCTCTTGTATGGAATGAAGTGTATCTTCATCGATTGGGAATAAATAGTAATGCGGTGACAGGTCATATTTTATCTTAGTTATCTCTCTTGACCCATACCAGCAATTACCGCAAAGGGCAAAAAAGATCACCTGACCGCCAAAGAAGATACAAAGACAGACTGATCACAGTATCAGATACAATTATAATTTTAAAATGTCACTTGATTAGTTCCTTTGTAGTTAAATCCTGAACTAATAACTTCATCGATAGATTAATAAGTATTAATTGGCGGTGATAGATCAGGTCAAAGCTGTCGTCGATTGAGTAGTAGTACACCATATTGGAGGTGACAGGTCAAGAGAGAGAGAACTCGAGGTAAATATGTACACTCGATACATAAAAACAATGTAACATTTGTTAAACTGTATTTTATATAAGGCGGGCTATTACAGCAACATCGACGTCTCTTCAATATGTATCAAAAACGCCTCGTTAAATGTGTCATTGATTTAAAAGGAGATGTCATTTTAAGAGATAGATCGTACTATGCTTCTAATTTATGTTTCATCAGTATTTTATTCTGTTGCCACGAGGTCGACATCTGCATATCCGTCATCTATCGTTATCTTGTAAAAGCCATAAGGAGACGTTACCCCGAATTAGAAAACGAATCTCGATTCTTTATCGATAGTATAGTAGAAGTAAAATATGGTAGAGTTCGTTCCCATATGAAATGTTTGAGGAGACGGCGATGTTACTGTAAAGTAGAAGCCGTTTTTGGTCTCTATGAAGAGTCGGTCTTAGATTGTATAATACAATGTAGGGAGAATTGATAAAAATACAGAACAACTTTATTTGTTTTTGTTAATAATAGGTGTTCTAGAACTGTTCTGGAGCAGTTCCAAAACATCTGTTCCAGGATGGTTCGAGAACTGTTCCAAAACCTATGAAGGATAGTTCTAGAACACTTGTCCCAGAATAATTCTAGAATTGTTATAGAAATGTTCACAGGGGTGGAGAGGAATCCTAAGACGGTTCACAGAGCTCTGAAATTCATAAAGGCCTCCGTGGCCAATCACCGTGCTCTGTTTGGTTCTAGGGCGCCACATATCATAATGTCTATATCCCATGTATTTAACATATACATACATAGTAGCGGCCTATTTTAACTTCACATATCTCGACCTAGCACTGACTAGCACAGCCACAGACAGCTAGACCCCCGGACCGTCCACACCTCCTAGTCTCCCTGACCTCACTTAAGGCAGAACTAAGAAGTAGACCCCGCTAGTTTAGTTTAGTTGAGCAAAACAGTTTAACCTAGTGATACTCTAGTTATTCTAGTGAAAATACAAGTGTGATAGCATAGATTATTATAAGAACATTTTTAAGAAATTCAACAGAGTGAATTACGATACCAGGATTTTCAAGCGACAACACAACCACAAAAAGAAACATCCAGAAACAGTACTTCTGAAAACAGACAAGTCGCACTAACAAACTAATAATAGTAACACATTCCAATCTCTAGGTCACTCACCAAATTTGTTTAACGTAATATACGTGTTTAACCCCAGTATCTCCATTCTTTAGATTCTACACTACTCTACTAAAAATATAGAACCCTTTTATCCATAACAAAACGTCCCATTAAGAATTACAGTTATATATATATAGATTAGATTTTTTTTACCACATACAAACAATACAAACCACTATGCCTATAAAACAAGTGGTAGTACTCAAACCTAACCCAAGGGATGGTTACAGGGGGCCATACAAAGCCATCAACCAAATCAATGCCGTTGCTGAAATTCAGTCAAGCATAGGCGTATCCCCAGTCACGTTCTTACCCTCGGGGTTCATACTGATTATGTGTATGTCAGTTACACAGATAGCTGGGGCGTTACTAGTTAAAGACCTAGGGGGGGGGGGCTCCCGTTCAAGCCCTATAAATCAACCCGCAAACCAACCCAAGCCTCCCCTCCCGATACAACACATATAATAACAGTAGAGGGGTTATATATAACATCCCCATGCATGTCCCGATAAATTTCTTCCTCAGTCACCTTATAGTAAAAGCCACCAGAATGTGTAACTTTAAAGGAAAATTAACAACTTCAATCCTCCTCCTGTTCAAGACCCCTAACGTACCACGTAACATCAGATATGGCGAAAGAATTTTTAAAGTCACCCCATTCGTAAATAGGACAAACAAACCACAAGAAGTTAAGAAACAAATCAAACCCACCCAAAAAGTAAATGTTAACACACAAACTAAGACCTACGCAGAAGCCGTCATAAATGTAAAAACATACCTCACAGAATTCAAAACTAAAACAGGAACCCCTATCCTATGAGAATGAATATAAAACAAGCTGATAAGAAATCAGGAAACCAAAGTGTCACAAAACAACAATTTGCAAACACAATGTGTGCGATACATTCCACAATACAATGATGGAAGAAATAGGAATAGGAATAAATGTAAGTCACAGCCCACCCAGAGGACAAAGTAGACACCACACCAATACCATCACCGACACCAGCAGCATATTCCCCCATAACTGAATCACCAATACTCTTCGATATGTTCGATACACCCACTGAAACATGCACCGATCTATATGCTGACATGCAATCGGAAACAGATACATCCTTACCACCTACACCCCCAACTCCATTAACACTAAAAAAGAAAAGGAAAAACAAAACAAAAACTAAACCAAGAACAGACAGCGAGATCGAAAGATATAATCTCAGATCTGCCAAAAAAATACTATTCCAATAGGTCGATAGGCTAAAAAATTAAAAACAAAATTAGATTAACAATAAATAATGGCAGGACAGAGAGTTAAAAAGACCGCGAGCGCTCTTTCTGTTCTAAGCTGGAACGCTTGTGGTCTACGACCAAACTTCATTGAATTTTTAGACTTCTTAAATAAAAACCCAGGTATAGATATTATTAAAATTCAAGAAACCAAAGTAAAAAACTCCCAAAAATAAAAGGTTACTATATACCACTCAAAACAGATAGTAATTCAACAGGATTAGCTATATATATTAACAAGAGGCCCAATGGGCATGCATCGCTCACCTGGTATAAAACTCACACTTGTAACCTTAAAAGTGATCTAAAATAACAGGCAAAATATCAGTATCTATGATTAAAATTCATTCAAAAGACCCTGTTATTTTTTTTTTCACCCCGTGATTGAAAGTCGAACAAAGTCATTATGTTGAACACATTGTATAGCCTTTCATCTCAGGATGCAACTTGCAAAGTATAAACATCCTGGGGCCCCATGGTTATTCAGAAGAGGTTCTTAAAAGATTTAAAACAAATTTGCCCCCTGTGACCTTGAATATAAGTCAAAGTCATTCACTTTAACACACAAAGTAGTCCTTGATCCCAGCATATGCTACTGACTGAATATCAACATCCTGAGCCTTTTCGTTATTCAGAACAAGTTGTTGAAATATTTTGAACATATTTGCTCCTTGTGACCTTGAATATGATTCAAGGTACATTTAAACAAACTTGGTAGCCCTTGATCCTAGTATGCTACTGACTAAATATCATCACCCTGGGCATTTTGGTTATTCAGAAGAAGTTGTTTAAAGTTTTTAACATATTTGACCCCTGTGACCTTGAATATGGGTGAAGGTCATTCATTTGAACAAACTTTGTAGCCCTTCATCTCAGCATGCTACTGGCCAAATATCATCACCCTGAGCATTTTGGTTATTCAGAAGAAGTTGTTTAAAGGTTTTTTAATACAATTGACCCCTGTGACCTTGAATATAATTGAAGGTCATTCATTTGAACAAACTTGGTAGCCCTTCACCAAAGCATGCTACTGGCCAAATATCATCTCCCTGGGCATTTTGGTTATTGAGAAGAAGATGTTTAAAGTTTGACATATTTGACCCCTGTGACCTTGAAAATAGGTGAAGGTCATTAATTTTAACAAACTTTGTAGCCCTTCATCCAAGTTTGCTTCTGGCCAAATATCGACATCCTAGGCCTTTCGGTTATTAAGAAGAAGTCATTTAAAGTAAAATATTGACGACGGACGCCGCGCCACGGCATAAGCTCACTTGGCACTTTGTGCCAGGTGAGCTAAAAACAACATAGCTTATAAAAGAATAGACTTAAAAAATATATCCCCTAAGATCGATATAATAGGAGCTGAATTACACAACCAAAAAACCATAACGGCAGGAAATCCTTTCTTGCTTTCAAAGTTTTGTGACATTTCCTCCAACTGATCTCGCCTCGGTCGGCGTATAATCTGGGATTTTCTTGAAAGAAATACTTTGCATACTCTATCCCTGCATCTTAACACAGAAAAGTCAGTTACACCAAATCTATCTGCAATATCATGGATGTTTGACTGTGATCCCATGTACCATAAAGTTATACATAGCTGCTTTTCAGGTGAAATTGAAATCCTTCCACCATGGTTGTTGTATTGGAGCTTTTCTCCAATTTGTTGACAAAGGAACTCAAATGTGTGCCTTTCTACACGAAAGAATGTCTTAAAATTGTCAATCTGGTACAGGGGAACAACTTCCTCATAATACCCGAAAACCTTCATTTTGTCACATCGAGCCCTGTAACGAAAAATAATTGTAAATAATAAAAAGCGTACTTCAAACTTTTACCAAAAAAAACCCACTTCAGTGAATTTCTTCTCTCACTTCTCTGATAAGATATAGTCTAAAAAAATCACATATATATCATCGTTATGTATCACTATGATCACACGAGCACACAACAATTATTGACTTAAATTGTTCTTTGTGAAGTTTGTCACTGTCACATATAACGTAGGACAAACAAAATCCTTTATTTGTATTCATAATTTATTTAGTGCTGGTTAATTTGGACGAGTTTATAAAACGTTCTCAAACCGACTTTAGATAAATCACAAGGGACCGTTTGAATGTATGCTGTACTGAAATGGGTCGCGGCACACATGTGTATTTCAGACATTTGTAACGAACCCCTGTGGATAAATCAAAACTAGGTTCACTTCAAAACGAAACTAGGTTCACTTCAATATAATACTGCATTCTGTTGAATGTAGGCAATTGATCGCTTTTCATGAAACGTATAATAATTCAAATACCTCATCGCTGCAACATATGATACAGGGAATGCTCCAAAGACTAACGGGAGCAGCGCATATAGGTTGTCGTCATTTAACAAATCGTCGACTACCATCATTTTCGCAATGTCCGCCATGTTGATTTGACACCGGAAGACTTGATTGTGAGGCTGTGGTGTAGTGACATAAAAAAGGGTAGCATTGTAAACGGTGTAGTGCAATCAAGTCAGCCCAAGGAAACAAAATACTGTACCTAACGGAAGCAGTTGGGCACAACTGGCAGTAAGAGACCCGAGGTACATAACAAATATAATATATATACCTCCCTATAAGAACAGGAATATATGCAATAAATACACTTTAAAAATAGACAAATATTTCTCTTTTTTAAGGATATATACATTAATATAAGCCACATTGACCAATTTCGAGTCCCCTCAACGACACAAATACATTAGTAAGGATCAACAATCACAGATACAACATCCAGCAAGACAAACCTTTTCGGACCAAGGAGTCGTCTCCAAATTACACCACAAGATAAGGATAGGATAGAATAGACGACTCCAAACCACCCCCCGAGGGAAGGCAACTTCCCTCACGCCGACAGAACACTGACTTATAACTTAAACTATCCTTATCTCTTGTTTTTCTCCTGTGTTGGTCGTCCGTGTTGGTCGTCGGTGTTTTTCGTGATACTTCCAGTTTTAGGTAACGTACAATGATTAGAAACGTAAAAAATTCCGGATATTTTGCGTCCTTTGCTGCCAAGATTGTATGCCGTGAAAGTTTGAACTTCAAAGGTCATCAAAAGCAAACGCTTATACGTAAGTAGTGCACTGTTAAATGTGCAGATAATTAGTTTATTCAGGTTAATTTAAGTTCTTAAAATATAATTTCATAGAGATTTTAGAAGAATGTATGTGTATTCTTTAAATAATTATGTTTTTTAAACTGTCCAAACTTTCCGGACATATTTTTTCAAGTGGCCGGCAAATTCGGACACTTAATTAATATTCTCATAACTTTTAATTGAGGACCAAAATAACATTATGAATATTTAAAACGTACTTTTATTTTTTTAAATCTATCAGAAACTTCATATACACTCATGTAATTATTACTTTTTATGATTTTGCAGAATGCCCAAACAGTACTTAGCCAAGAAAAAGGGGAAATATGTACAGCATAAATACGAACACATGGAGGAAGCTGTAAGGGCAGTTAAAGATGGGGAGATGTCTGTGAGATTGGCTGCTGAACGATACGGTCTTCCAAAGTCAACATTGTACGATCGTGTTTCAGGACGATTTAATCTTGAGACGAAACCCGGACGAAAACCGGTATTGGATATTACAACAGAAAATCAGATTATCAACAGTGTTACAGAAAATGCAGAAAAGGGTTTCGGATTATCACGTCAGCAATTACTTACAAGAGCTGGTATTTTATGTAAACGTGCAAATATTTCTGGGTTCTGTAACGTCACCCCTTCAAAACACTGGTGGTACGGACTGAAAAGAAGACACCCTGAAATAGGTCTGAGAAAACCTGAAAAGCTTGGTACCCAAAGGTCTTGGATCTATCATAACAGAGCTAAATCTTAGCAATGCCCCTCAAAAAATTTGGAATTGTGATGAGACGGGGAAACACCTGGAGCACAACCCAGTGAATGTCATCGCCCGTCGAGGGACCCGGTCAGTAGTTGGACGGACAAGCAATGACCGATCCAATGTCACAATAATGGCATGTGTCAATGCTGCCGGTACCTCAATGCCTCCGATGCTAATTGTGAAAGGCAAAATCAGAAAATCTCTGTTTGGGTACAATACGGCCGCTTCACCTCAAGATTCTGTGTGGACCTATCATGAACGGGCGTGGATGAACGAGGAGCTGGGCGAAGAATGGTTCAGGAACGTGTTTTTAAGACACTGTGGCCAAGAACGCCCACAGCTCTTAATTCTAGACGGTCATGGTTCGCATGAAACTCTGGGTCTCTTGGAATTGGCAAAGCAGGAGAACATAAGTATCATTGCCTTACCCCCTCACACAACGCACTACCTTCAGCCTCTTGACAGGAGTGTATTTGGGCCGTTCAATAAGGCATATAATAAAGCCTGCTCTAACTTTTTATCTCTAGCTCCATGTAACATCATCAATAAATGGACATTCCCACAAATGTTCACGTCTGCTTGGGAAGCCGGGCTTACGGTGCAGAATATCATCAGCGGGTTCCGTGGCTGTGGAATATATCCTTTCAATCCCGCCGCGGTTCCCAAGTCTGCGTTCCTACCCAGCACAGTGTTTGACCGTCCGTTGCCATCTGCAACCATTACATCTGGGACCGTTACCAGCAGCACCAACACCACAGATGATAGCGTTGAACCTCTTGCAGTGCCTACTACTCTGCCTGTTGCTCCGCCCAGCAACGTTTCCTTGAGTACTGATACTCGGTCTACTCCCGGTATCTTTCTGCTGGGCGTACCTGAAGGTTTACAGACTCCTAATTAAGACGCTTCACACAGTCTTGTGGTTTCCGCGGAAATTCACGCTCCATTTAGGGCTTCAGATGAAGACTTAGACATGGCAGGTTACAACAGCACTACTTCCGATAGTCACGTAACGTCCGGTTCCCCGCCCATAAGTGACTTGGAAACACTTGCTGCCGTTGCGAGTATATCACAAAGTCCAGCTGAGCTTGAGGATCCTCAGCACCTATTCAACCTCATTGCATCTGGAAAACTCGAAATAATTGCAAGTGCCAACGATGATGGTGAAGCCACATTGCCTTCGTCGTTGTGGAGCAGTAATATTGAAGATCTGTTTTCCCCTTGTAGAAACGCCCAGACATGCGCAGTGCCTTTGAAAAAGCTGAGCCGCGCAATAACCACGCATCGGCTTTTAACAAGCAATGATATTATTAATGAAAACAGAGTCCTGGCCGAAAGAAAGCAGAAATTAGAAGCAGAGAAAAAAGCCAGACAGTTAAAACGTGAAATGAAAAAGAAAACAATGAATTAGAACTATTGCACATTCAAACAACTTAAATGACTTATCAAATTTTATGCGACGAATTGTCAAAAAGCAGAGGAAATTTGTAATGAATATTATAAGATTTCCTGAATTTAAAAAAAACTGAGGAAATTGGTAGTGAATAGCATTAGATCTGTTGATTTTTAAAAAGCCAGAGGAAATTCATACTGAGTATCATTATAGATGTATGGCTACATGTTTGTACATCGTCATTATAGAATACTCACTATATCACTACACTGTGTGTACTGTAGCATCAATATCTCTAAATAACGGAGTTATTTACAAAAGTATAACAAAGATTAACTAGAACAAGAGGCCCAAGGGCCTTAGCGGTCACCTGAGTTATATCATAGGTACTGGTAGCTTCATTTTAGTGTTTAGATGTGATGTGGAAATCAGCATGTAAACTAAGTGAAATACAATACTTGTCATGTCATCAATGGATAAGAATTTGAAAATATTGGTAAAGGTTCCCTTTGGGGCCCCGCCCTAGCCCCTGGGGATGGGACAGGAATCCCAATTTTACAAAGTAAAACTCATTTACCCAAGATGATTCTGACTAAGTTTGAGCAATTTTCTGCTGAAAATGGATAAAATATATACCGAAAAGTGTTATTTCCCTATATAAACTATATTAAACGTTAACCCCTCCCCAAGGGAGAACGGATAGCTCGGGGTCCTGATATTTTCAATTTAAATAAAGCCCCTGATGATCTTTCTTTCCACNATTATTTTCCGGAAACTACGTAGGTTTTTTCATTACTTTACACTAGCTTCTTCCGGATGATAGCGCCCTGCAACGACAATGCTGGTATGTTAGTATAAGTGCGGCGGCGAGTAAACTGGAGGTCAATTTTGTCCGAATATACCGGACTCTACCCTAAGGGCGGATTCATGTAGGCGCGAAACCCGTCATCCATCCATCCATCCATCCATCCTATTTTAACTTGGGTCGATTTCACTTGGGTAAAATCGGCCTGGCCGATATTATTTGGGGCCGATTTAACCAAATACCATTTTGCCATTGATGCTAAAATCACATTTGATACAAAGACGTGATGTGTGATTCTCTTTATACTGTTCTACATGAAATGACATGAATTGATTCCCTCCCTGCTTCACCATTCTGGAATCTCCCTTAAGAATCTGAAGGGGGATTCGGACTCCCTCCCGGTGTCATCATCCCGTTCCATTACCGGACTTACTTTGGGATTGGTTTCGAAAGCGACTTCAACATAGATTCAACAGATTCTAAAGGTTGCCGAGATGACTTTTCTTTGTGGACGAAATGTCTTCATATAAGAAATTTGTTAAAACAACTAATTCGACCATCACAAAATTAAAAGTATTGAATTTAATATTATTCGTAATTATAGTTAAGTTGATCAATTAAGTACTGTCTGTTAACAAAATAGCGATATGGCAAAAGATTCCTTGAAAATTACAAAACTCTTTGCATTGATATATGGAGACGAATTACTGATTACCTGAGACGAAACGTCAACGTCTAAGAAAACTCTAATTCGGGTTACATCAAGCATGCTTCTGCTTCATGCTTAGTGTTTTAATTAGTTAAACGTCCTATGAACGGCTTATGTATTTTATAACGTGCCGCACAGGGTGATAACCACCTCGGTATAATAATCCATATGATAGTGTGTGATTTTTAATTGGTCGTCCCGTTTCTATTCCTACTACACCTTAATCGACTATATAAAAAGTGCGCCAACACGGTTAACCGTCACCTTTGGCGTTAAAAATTGCTCAGAAATGTCTGTATGGTGAAATAGAAGTTAAAGACCGAACTTTAAAAGTTGGGAGTGTTAAGATTATATACACAGGATGGGGGAGTAAGGCCTTGCTGCTGCTGATAAAACCCAGACCTGTTATGCAAGACTAGCCTCTGGTCATAGCTGTTGCGGTCAGCCTGCTGTCTACACACACTAAAAGACTACCGTTGTAAATAAAATGACCACTAAGGCCAAACTGATTAATAATTAAACTCACATGTAGCATTATAACTGTAATACCAGTAATATTTATTGTACTGTGCATTTAAACGTATTCTAAGAATAAGAATGGATATATATATATTGTAATCATATGAGGAAAAGATTGAGAAACGAAAATATATATGCATATATATTGAAATAGAAAGAAGAATAAAAAAATCAAGAAATGAGAAGTCTTTGAGTAAATTCCCTTAAAATTCTATTTAAGTTTTTCATAATAC